GACTTGGGGGTCATCATTGACCACAAGATGAACATGAGCCTGCAATGCGATGCGGCGGCTAGTAAAGCGACCAAAACGCTGGCTTGCATCCATAGATGCTTCTCAAGCAAATCCCGGGATGTCGTTCTCCCCTTGTACTCGGCCTTAGTGAGGTCGCATCTGGAGTACTGTGTCCAGTTTTGGGCTCCACAGTTCAAAAAGGATGTGGAGAAGCTTGAGAGAGTCCAGAGAAGAGCCACGCGCATGATCAGAGGTCAGGGAAGCAGACCCTACGATGACAGGCTGAGAGCCCTGGGGCTCTTTAGCCTGGAAAAGTGCAGGCTCAGGGGTGATCTGATGGCCAACTATAAGTTTATCAGGGGTGACCACCAGTATCTGGGGGAACATTTGTTCACCAGAGCACCCCAAGGGATGACAAGGTCAAACGGTTATAAACTACCGCAAGACAGTTTCAGGCTGGACCTAAGGAAGAAAGGTGTGGCTATGGAGTACCTGCGCTAAAACTTGCAGTTTCAAAAAAGTTTAAATGCATCAATTCTAGATTAACTAAGTCTGTGTACCTATAGTAATTTGCCTATATGTTTATTTCAAAGTTAGTGTTTTCAAATTTGCTCCTTGTTTCCATGTGCTCAGTGAGAGCAGAGTCTGACAGTAGGGGGTGGGGAAAGGGGCTGCAGGGGACGAATTTGGGGGGAAGGGGACAATGGACAAGGGGGGCCACTTGACTCTCACCCCAGATTTAGTGTCCCTGCTGTAGCAGTGGGAGGGGGGAAAATTCAAAGCAAACCTCCAATAATTAGATTCTATACCTGGAAATTTTTAACAAATGTATTAATTTTCCATATATAGAACCTAATTATTCAGGGGGTCCTCCTATAGTCAGGATCATCCTGTATTCTAGTAAATACAGTGTGACAAATTTATAAATTTTTCAGGTAGACAATCTAATTATGGAGAGGCCATCTTAAATTCAGGGTTGTCTTAAATTTGAGTAAATGCAGTAGTATAGAATTATAAGATA